CTTCACCCCATTTCAAGGGAGGTATAACTTCTTTTATCTTTTTTAGTCTCTCCCCTATGTGATCCAACGTGCTAAGTGAGAATTGCATGCTTACTTTACTTGCTTTCCTTGTTTTTCCTTAATTCATTTCATTTACTTTTGCTTTTATTAAGTCATTCTTTTATTTATGGGGTATGTGTACACCTCTTGGCTTGTAATAGATAGGGCTTGGAGAGCACTTGATGAATACCTATTGAAGACGTGTGCCTAGCTAGCAAATGTAATAGGTTCATTAGCTTGATTGCTTATTTTTGTTGCTATGTGTTAATTTGCTTTATTAGGTTTTTGCATCTAGTCGAGCATGCTAAGTGTTATGTGCTATGTGTTTATGAGTGTTTGGCATGTCTACTTGCTTTCTATAGCCATGGATGAACGTGATGGATGAATGTACGTCACCACACTAGTCCAATGCTAGTTGTGGCTCATTCATAGAATAGGCTAGTCCAACGCTAGATCCAATAGGCCATCCCCCTTTCATTAGTGCATACTTGCATGTTCACTACATTTCATGCATTTTCCTTAGTTTTTTCATTTGGCATGCTCCTCCAATCCTTTTCCCCTCATTTTAGGCTTTTTGCATCTCATGCTAGTTATAGGATACATTTGCTTGTAGATTCCCCTTTCGATAAGGGAAACGAGCGAGTTTGGCTACAAAATAGCCTCAGCACGCTAGTTCTTCCTTGTGAGAACCCTCATTTTTAAAATACAATTTCCCCAAACTACATGCCTTGCACCAAGATTTAAACCATCTCTTATATGCCCTAGCATTATATTTCACAATGTGTTACAACAAATCCCTTGTATTGACCCTCACTTTAAAACAAAATTTTCTTATATACATGCCTTATTATAAGATCTAGACCATTTAATATATGCCCTTACAAATTATTTTCTATGTGTTATAATAATTTCCATGCATTTCATTTCAATTCATTTTACTTGAAGTAAAATATTTCCTTGAGCTAGGTTGTAAATAATTCACCACTTGTAATTGTCCAAGTGTTCTTTTATTAGTGGTAGAGACTTTATGTGAGAGATTTGAGGTGTTGAATAATTATTGGTGCATTTGGAAAGGTAAGAATGGCATTAGTCAAAGATTAAGAAAGGTTAGGACAATAATGGAGCCATGTGGCAAAACCCTAGCCATGTATCTTGTTTGACCAAAGGATTAGAGGAATTTTAAACCAACTTTGCTTCATTTTCCTCCAAAATTTCGTCCACCTTAAGGGCTTCCAAGGGAAGGAAGAAAACTCCATCTTCTTGCTATGACAACCTTAATTTGATCTTGAACAAAAACCAAAAGAGAAAGATCTAGAGTTTGTGAGAAAATTTCCTTCAATCTTTGAGGTTGTTTCAAGCCTAAAGCTTCTATTGTGGTGGTTTGTTTGGTGACCAAAGCAACTTGTAAGTAAGGTATGTAATCTTTAAAATTTGGGTTTATGATGTTATATCATCTACTTGAGGTTGAAATGGTGAAAAACAACTTGTTATGGTTGAATTTGGAGTTAGTTTCTTGAGTTAATCAAGTAATGGTTAGGTTTACTAATATGCATACCAAGTGTTTGATGAAATGTCTAACCCTTATTCATGTGTGTTTATGAAGTATTGATATGTTTGAAACCCCTATTTAGTTGGATCTAATACTTGTTATGTGCAAGGAATGAAAATAACAAGAAGAGTAGAAGTTAGAAATTTTTAAAGTGTGCTGACCGAAACCTTTTAAGCTTGCTGCCTGATTTTTCCTTGATATTTTCATGCACATTTTGGCTACAAATGTGAGTGTTATATGTTGGGTTATGTGTGTGGAGGTTGTCTACAAAAAATTAGCCAATTTGGTTGAATAAAGTTTGAGTTATAAACAAAGGAGGAAAGCTGGACTAGGTCCAGAAATTTTCTGTCCAGCAATCTTGTTAAGGTCATAACGTGTTACTCACTGATTGGAATTGAGTGCTGTTTGTGGCAATTGAATGTAGACTCTTAGAGCTTTAAAACGGTACAAACCTCATTTTCTGGTTCATCCCGAGCGATCCGTGGCGAGTCTTGAAAGTTGGCTGTCCGGGCGGTACTGTTCATCCGAGACAGTCCAGAAAGTTCATTTGGTTTCTTAATTTTGAGCCACTTATGTTGGGATTTTGGAAATGGTTTCTTCTAGACAAATTTACCCTTATGAACTTAGTTTCCAATGCAACTGACGGAACCTAATTCTGACTTTCCCACAATGAGCAATGACCGTTTTCCCGAGGCTGGCCGGGCGAGACAGTTTAAACCGTAATGAAGCCTTTGAGTTTTAGTGAAACTTTTCTTTTGCCAAACTTTCATGTACATACTAGACTTGTTTTCCATGAACTTTCACCGTGGTTTAGACCCTATTTGCATGCCGGATTAAGTAGCTTAAGCTACTCACTTGGCCTCTTAATGAACCTATACTTTAGTAGGGAATGAATCCAATTATTAATGCTTGCACTCGTTGACCTAGGTTTGGGCAACGACGGTGATCGTAACTGAGACGTTTGACGTCGATTATTACTTTTGCTTGACAGGTGAGTGTTCCACTACCTGCTACTTGTTATGTGAAATATTTGTGTACTTGAAAGTATTGAATTGTTATTGGTTGAGCCAAACACTATTTTAATTAAAATTGAGGCGAGTGTGTACTTTATCGCACTCGACCTTCCTTGTTTTTTTTTCTTTTCACTGAGGCTCTACTTACTGAATGAATTAACATGAAATGAGATATTGCTATACATGACTGTGCTTAAGTTGCGTGGATGACATTCCACCAACTACTGTTACTGTTTGGGTACCCAACCTCATAGGTGAGTCGGTTGTATCGAGCCAGCAAGGGCTTGGTCGAGAAGGCCGATAAACCTTGAGGACTTTTACTGTTCACTGGAAATTGAATCTTGCTTGGAGGTCCCTGGCGAAGCATAGCCATTGTGCTTGCTTGTTGTGTTGTCCAGCACCACCAGTGATAAAATCCTCGGCTTGATACTGTTTCATTGGAATCCTTGAGCATTGGAAACTCGGATTCCTGGTATACTCGAGTATTACCAAACTACTGTTTATGGAGTGCGGGCCCGGTGGGGGGGTTGTTTGGTGGACGGAGACGGGTGAAAGTGGTGTTCTATGGACCTATATACTGTTACAAGTGTCGACAGAGTGTCAACAGGAGGCAATTATGATCAAGCTCAAGTGGACCTTTAGCTTTTGAAAGCCACCCGTATCCTTGAATTGAACTGTGATTAAACTGTTATTTTACTGTACAGTGTTTAGTTGGCTATTTTGTGATTTTATGTGGCTATGTGTTTACTTGTTTACCTGGAACCTCACTGGGCTTTAGCTCACCCCATTCCCTTTATTTTCCTTAACAGATCGGGAAGGGATTTGATCGAGGGATTTCTTAGCTTTATTTTGCCGTTCTTGCGTTTTGAGGTTGTAACTTTCGTTTAAGCAAACTTGTAAGCTTAAATTCTTAAGGGTGATTTATATTATGTAATTTTGAGTGAAGCATGGTAAGTTGGCATGCAATGATATATGTACTAAGCTGAATTGTTGGATTAGTGATTATGTTTGAGTTAGTGTTTCAATCCCCTGCATTGTCAAATGTTATATTCGTTTCATTGATGATATTAGTACTTTGAACGACTGAGTCCTGGCGAGAGCTGGGCAGGCAGTCTGCTGATATCCTAGGGTTTGCCCTAGGGAGAGGTGGGGCTGTCACATTCCTACTAATCCAAGGGAAAATTAAAGTCACAAAGTTAGGAGTCCCCGTTCCCGTTTTGATGCATTCCTCTAGGGTTCATGCATTTTTTCACTATCACGTACACTTCTACTTTATATTCTATCCCTTTTTCCACATTCTCACTTCACACTACTTTTGGACGTTTTCACTTAACTACTCACACTTTATACCATATCACTCGCACACATGCACTTTATGTTATTTTCACATCATCATTCTTTACTCACCTTACCTTGTAAATACATTTGCACACCTCCACTTACATCCTATTATTTTTATTACTTTTCTCACTTCACACAAACTCACATTTTCACATGGCATGCATTCCACTCATTTTTACGTCATTTAGAATTATGTGTGACCTCTCCAAGGGATCATTATTGGGCTTCACAATTAATGTGATTGGCACCACTCAACCTTTGAAGAGAAATTTCCCCCATGTCCCCCTAGGTCTAGGTTTTTGCATTCATATAGTCATATCTAACACGCGATACATACCTTGGGTAAAAAAATTAGGAATCGTGAGGCTAAGTCACGCAACTAGCTTTGGCTAGGGTAAGGGAGTGCCTTAGGCTTTGCCTTTGCCTTCTCCCTTATCAAATGTGACCCCCGATCCCTTTCTTTAGTTACGTAGACCTAAAAGTTTTAAAAGGGTTTGTTTACTTTTTCGTTCAAAAACAAAAACCATTTTTTGGTGACTTGGTACACCCTAACTCTATACCAAGTGGCGACTCCATTTTTCATACAAAAAACCCTTTTGAACTTTATTTGGCCAAACCGTCGCATTTCACAATCGCACGGCCTTTATTTTCACTTTCACACGTTCACATACATATCTCACACACACTTCACACACTAATCAAAAAGTGGGGCGCGACAAAGACAGCAGTGGAGTCAAGCGCAAGCTACCCTGCTTAGGAGGCTTGCTGATGAGGAAATATTTTGGAAGCAGAAGGCTCGAGTTAGATGGCTAAAAGATGGGGACTCTTACACCAAGTTCTTCTATGCACAGCTTCTAGACAAGTGATCTAAGCTTTCAATTCAGCGAATAAGAAACTCCCAAGATGAATGGGTTGAACATGAGGCCGACATTGACGCTGAGGCTATAAATTATTTTTAGGAGCTGCTGGCCACTACCTTAACAGTACAAGAACACGTGATGGTGCGATTACTCAACAATATCCCATCTCTCATTTCCCAATAGCAAAAGGATAAGATTATGCAAGAGCTTACCCCAAAAGAGGTTAAAAATGCAGTTTTCAAACTAGATGAACAAAGTGCAATAGGTGCGGATGGATTTACAGGGTTCTTCTTCAAGCAATGCTGGGACATAATTAGGGAGAATGTTTTTCAAGCTGCTAGAGAATTTATGTGCAGAGTATCCATACCAAATAGCATTGCAAACACTCTAATTGTATTGATCCCGAAGAAAGATTCGCCATAGTTGTTCACGGACTTTTGGCCTAAAAGTCTATGAACCATTATCAATAAGGTTTTTACCAAGATACTTTGCAATAGGTTAAAGCCCCTACTGCCATTTGTCATTTGGTTGGAGCAATCTGCCCTTGTCCAAGGTAGAGAAATTGCAGACAATATTTTAATAGTGCAAGAATTGGTGAATGACATTGATAGGAAGGTGTGGGACCAAAACATAGTGTTCAAAATTGATATGATGAAAACCGTTGATAAGGTGTCATGGGAATTCTTATCCAGGCTGCTCCTCAAATTCAGGTTTCATCCTCAATTCGTGACTTTGGTCATGAACAATTTAACCTTGTCTTGGTTCTCAATGCTTGTCAATGGGAAGCCGAATGGTTTCTTCCAGGCTGCTTGCGGCTTAAAACAAGGAGATCTACTATCCCATTTCCTCTTTATCTTAGTGTTGGAGGCTCTTACCCGTGGCCTAAACAACCTATTCCCTTTAGGGGGAGTTCAACCTTACACTCAACTATGAGGTGCACTGCACGTATCTCATCTAGCCTTTGCCGATGACATTATCATTTTTACAAGGGGTGATCGAAGGTCATTGAGAAACCTAATGGATTTCTTGGATCGGTATCAAGACAGGTCGGGGCAAAAGGTCAATAGTGACAAAAGCTTTTCGTGGTCTCGTCTAGATGCTCCGGTGCTAAAGCCTATCTAATATCCAGATTAACTAGCTTTCGACATCAAAAGCTGCCTTTTACATACTTAGGAAGCCAGCTTTTTAAAGGGAGATATAAGCAAGAGCATTTCCAGCACCTAATCTTCAAAATGCAAAATAAACTTGCTGGTTGGAAGAGGAAGTTACTGTCGGTAGAAGGATGTTTAGTTTTGATCAAACATGTTTTGGCCACTATACCCCTATACATATTTGCTGCTTTAGAAACCCCCAAAAGTATATTGCGCCAAATCGAACGCATTATGTCCCATTTCTTCTGGGGGGAAGTAGAGGGCTATGAGAGATGGCATTGGAGGAGCTGGAATGGTTTGTGCTTCCCAATTGACCAAAACGGCTTAGGGCTCAATAAACTGGATGGTGTGTTAAGAACTTTTTGGTGTAAACTATGGTGGAAACTGTGGACCAGCAATGTATTTTGGGCACGCTATATGATAAGCAGATATGCAAAGGTAGCGGAGCATATGACAATAGTGCCAATACGAGCTTCGAGCTCAAGAACTTGGAAAAGAATGTTAAGCATCTGGGTGTTTATGGAAGAACATATGCAGGTGCTGGTGCGAGACGGTAGTTCATCCTTCTGGTTCGATAACTAGTTGGGGTCAGGGCCCGTAGCGAAAGACAAAGAGGTAATCCCATCGCCAAACATTACAATTGTAGACCTATTTGTCGAGGATGCTTGGCACCTAGATCGGATTGGGGGCTCGCTCACAAAGGAGAAAAAGCTACAAATCCTCAACTCCCTAATCCATATTTCTAATGACAAGGACATCTTAGTTTGGATGCCTTCTACAAATGGTCGATTTAAGCTCTCATCCACCCTAGAGTAGCAATAGGAAGCAGACCACCTCTCCATTTCTTAGATGATGATTTCGAATGGACGAATTCCTCTCAAGATTTCGATCTTCATGTGGCACTTGCTCAACGTCTTACTTCCTTTTCCAGATATACTCTAGCAATTTGGTTTCAATTTGCCGTCAAAGTGCTCGTTTTGAGCCAATTAAGAAACCCTAAACCATTGCTTTCGTGGAATGTCAGATGGCGCACCAAGTTTGGGGAAGATTCGAATAACTTTTTGACATTTACATGGCCCCTACAGATTTGCTCATGCAAAAGCTGCAAGGTTGGTGGATGCACTCAATAGGTAGGTCGCTAAAAGCCACTCTAGCGTGCTTGCTACCTTTATTAATTTGTTGGGATTTGTGGAAGGGGTGGAACATGGTAGTCTTTGAGAACCTAGTGGCATCATCCGACCAGGTCTACCGCCAAGTATTTTGGACTCTCAGTGCTATTGCAGCGGCCCACCCCTTTCAATCGACCTGTCCTAAAGACAAAAACCTGTTGCACTTAGGGTTTCTATCTACTCTCATGCCTCCAAAGCCAACAATGCTCTCTACTTTAGTTTGGTCATTACTGGTCTACCCATACGTTAAGCTGAACGTTGATGGCTCGTCTATTGGAAATTCGAGATATTCAGGAGGGTGAGGAATCATAAGGGATTATAATGGTCAGGTTAAGTGATACAATTCTCGATACGCCAAAATGAATCAAGAACATGAACCACAAGCCCAGATCTAGGTTAGGAATCAACGCTTGGGGATGGAGCTTGTAATCAATCTTGGACTGTACAAGAAAGATTAGAACGAGTAGAACAACGCCACAATCAAGGTGACTACTTGATTGATAAGTTGTCGAATCATGTTAGACCTACTCTAAGATGTTCAATGGTGGCTTTCACAAGTCAAGAAGGGCTCTTTCACTCATGAAAGAAATCTGGAATTTTCTCAAGTTATTATTCAGTGTCACTAAACGATCAAACTAAGGCTTTTTATGGCCTTTACAACACTCAATACTCCTAACTCTACTAAGACTCACTTAACTAAACCTATTAAGAATTAACTCAACCCAGGGCGAACTATGGTCAACATGACCTTAAGCCTTTTTATTAACTAATTGGCATAAACGACTAAACTCAAAGCTGTAATTAACCAAACGACATGAAACAATGAAAATAAATGACAAACAGCTAATAATCTAGGCTATTCGGTCAAGACATAACATGATGACTCTAGCTTGATGCAAACAAACTTGATAAGCTTCAAAACCAGCTAGATCCTATATCATTCCCCTCCTCTTAAAGGTTATTTGCCCACACATCAAAGCATGAAAGGTGACAAGCAGAGTAACATGTCGACGGGTTAGCCTTGTGATGATTACAAGCCAAGGTATCATCCAAAGAAAAAAACTGCACTTGCAAAGTTGGAAAAGACACCGTTTAGCTCCTTGAATCTCACGAACTAGCTTTAATGTTTGCTCATTTAATTCACTCATATTCATGAGGTAAGGGTCCTCGAAGTGGTGTGTGGCGTCTATCATGAAATCAAACTCCTCTAGCTCAACGAAGTTTGCAAAGTGCAAAATCTGATTTGGTGATGTTGAAGTTTCACTTGGACTATCTACAAGTTGAAGATAGGGATTGTATTGTTCATCATCAAACTCACTCCACAAACGAACTACTTGCACAAGATTAGCCCCTTTGTCTACATAAGAAAGTCAACAAAGATTAGGGGACAGCTCACAAAAATGAGTTAAAGACATATAAGAAACTTGAGCATGATATGAAGAGAAAAAAGATAGCAATAAGATAGAAAATTCTGGAATCGTTTCGTTTCCATCATCACGAAAAGGAACGGCAGCAAGGGAGATTGAATTCGGATAGCAATCCTACAATTCCATGTCCTCTCGCTTAACCTACAAAAAAAAAAGGAAAGCTAGTAGTAAACAAGTTAGTACAGTTACAAGAAAGAATCCTATCACGCTCAACTCTTATTAACAAACTATGTTTCCTATCTTTATATATCCCTTTGGCCGAACTCACTAATGCTTTTCTCTCTTCACCACTCTCGGCCTCACTCTTTTCCTTTTTCTCAAATCACACTCCATCTCATATTCCTCATGTAGGGGTCACTTGATCCTTTTGAACTTGTTTAGGGGTAAGGGGAACAAGGATAACTCTTCTATTACAATGCATAAAGGAATGTTTATTTGAGTGTCCGTCAAAGTGGACAGTTTTGTCATATTGCCAAGGACAACCTAAGATCAAGTAACATGCTTGCATTGGTATCACATCACATACCACTTCATCTTCATACCTACTAATGCGAAATGATACCTTCATTTGCTGATAAACACGTTCACCACCATCGTTATTTAGCCATTGAAGTCGATATAGCTTAGGGTGCTTGGTGGTTGGAAGAGACCATTTTTCAACCATGAACAAACTTGCCATGTTTGTGCAACTACATCCATTAATTATTAGACTACATAACTTGTCCTTGATATAAACGAGTGTAGAACAAGTTATCCCTTTGCTTACCTTCATCCTTTAAAACTCGGGCAGCAAGCACTTTTCTTGCAACCAAGACTGTAGACACCAAAATTTTAATTTTAATTTTATTTGGTTTTATTTTTATTTTTATTTAATCAAAGTTTGCAAAGTGATAGTTAGTTATTTTTATTTGAATTAGGATCATTTTCTTTTAAAAATTGTTTTTTTGAAAAAAAAGAAAAGTCTCACAAAAATTTGTTTTTAATCTTTTCAAATTTAATTTCTTCAAAATAAATGAAGATTTGCAAGGCAATTTCAAATAGGAATTAACATTTTGTTTACCCTAAATTTGTTTTGAAAAACAAAAAAATAATAATAATAAAAAAGGAAAAATAAGATAGGTGGAAGGCATGTATAGTAGCTAAGTGGGATAGGTGAGCATTAGCCATGTGGTTTTGGCATTTTACACATAACACATTCAAAGGATAGGTGGCAAGACAAGTGGAAGATGGGAAAAAATCTGGAAACAACAGGAGAAAAATCTGAAAAAAGGGAAGGAAGGAAGCTGCCGGCAGGGGAGGAAGAAAGGAGGAAAAAAAGAAAAAAAAAAGGAGGAAGGCAAGGGAGAAAAGGGAGAAGGAGGAGCATTTGAGGAGATTAAGAAAGAGAGAGTCTGCAGATGGGTTTAAAAAATCTGGACTAGAAAGGGAAAAACTAGAGAGGCTTCGAGGAAAAAGAGGGTTTCAGGAACGAAGGAGAAAAGAAAAAGGAAGAGGAAAAAAGGAAAGGAGAAGAGAAAGAAAGGAGGAGGGGGAAATCTGGGGAAGATCAGAGGGGAAAACAGGAAGAAAAACAAGAGGAAAAAGAAAGAAAATAGAGAAACAAGGGAAGACAAAAAGAAGAAAAGGAAAAAGGGAGCTACGGAAAAAAAAAGGGGGGAAAAAGGAGAAACAAGAGCAGAGGAGGAGGAGAGAATCTGGGAGACTAAGAGAGGGAGTGAGGGGTGGTTACTGAAGAAAGAAAAAACAGCAAAAAGAGAGGAAAAGGAAAACCAATAAAGAGGAAAAATTTCTACAGAAGTTTTCATTAAAACAGGCTGGTTTCTGAGTCATATTTGGACCCAATTATCTCCTTCTCGGTTGCTTGATTCGAGCGCATTTTGGTTTCTACACAAATTAGGAAGTCAGGGGAGGAAGTCTTGTTTAGAAATTATTTGCAAAAAATACACGGAAAGCCTTTGAATCGAAGTCCCAAGTCACGGACTTGTCCCTGCTGCACCTCCACTGTGATGGAATTTGCTTGACTTCATCTCACGAACCAACCAGCATTCTAAGAATCTAAGGAGCATCTTGCGTTGTCAAACCTCACAAACATTTCGAGGTATTCATGGCCTTTATTTGTTCTGGTCTAACGCATTTTTTTTTAAAGATTAAAGCTCATCTTGTGTGCAAATTGGTGAAACTTTGGC